GTCCGGACGAATCGCTTTAATGGCGTCAAACACTGCCAGACCATCCGCGATACCTGCTGGGTGATTAGGCATGACAACGGTGCGTCCGTCTTGGGGTAAGTGATGTAATCCCTCAACGGTGACTTTCATGCCGAGCAGCTTGCTGACGTGCTCAAATACCTCATAGCCGCTCAAACCCTGAACTTCATCAACGAGGTCTATGGTCGTCTGATAGCCAAAAACCGGGTACAGATATTCCTGTATCAACTTCCAGATGAACGGGTGCTGGCGCAGCTTGACCGCGCGTTCTTCGATGAGGGTATCAACGATATGGGTCATGACGCGTGTGTTTTCACAAACTTTATTATGGCTTTGTTGAAACCTTCGCTGTCTTCCATATTGACTGCATGTCCCGCCTGCAGCTCAACCACCGTCAGATTCGGCATGTGTTCAGAAGCCCAGTTCCTGGCATCTGTAAAGCGGGATTCAAGTTGTCCATAAGCCAGCAACGCAGGTCTTGAGTTGTTGCCGGCGAGGTGGCGAATGCTGGCGTTGGGTGTTGTATGAGTCAGCGTGTGTGCAATGCCTGTGGGTGAAAGGATCTGAGCATCTTCCATGAGCGTTGCGTAGATGTCTGGCGGCAGTCTTTTTGCAAAACGGGGATGCACCGGAATGCGTGAGATAGCTTTAAGGCCATCTTTATGGATGCGCGCAGTACTTTCAGCCGCTTCACTGCGCCACTTGGCCACCTGTTCTTCATCGGCAAAGGCTGAGCTCGAATTGGTGAAGATGTGGGCAATGACGTGTTCGGGTTTTGCCAGGGCATAGCGAATGGTCAGCGCTGCACCGATGGAATAACCGCATACAAGCCACTGCTCTGCACCCAGCGCCAGGCGAATATCTTCCAGTGCCTCGACGTAGTGATCCGGGTGGTAGGCTTTGTCATCCTCCGGGCTCGGCGATTTCCCGTGTCCCCACAAATCGATGGTCACAGGTCGGCAGACACGGCTAAGCGCCAGCAGGTTGTGATTCCACTGGCGGGAGCTGGATAAGAAGCCGTGCACCATGCCAAGGTAAGGCCCCTGGCCAGGATGTACGGTGTAAGCAAGTTTAGCTGCGGGCACGCTCTGGTTAGGCTCCGGGAGACTTGGCAACAGGGGCGCATGCTACCATGGCCAGCTTCATGAAATTAGCGATTAGCGTGGTGAAATGACATGTCTGCACTTCAGACAGAAGCAGTGGCTGTACTGACAACCGGCGGCACCATAGACAAAGTTTATTTTGACGCCCGCAGTGAATTTGCCATAGGCGATTCGGTGGTTCTGGAGTTACTTAAAGAGGCACACGTTGACGCCCCTCATCGATTAGAAGAAGTCATGCGTAAAGACTCTCTTGAACTGGTGGATGCGGATCGACAGGTAATTGCCGAGGCAGTCCAGGCCTGCGCAGAGCGTTGTGTGGTGATCACCCATGGCACCGACACCATGACACTGACAGCGCAAAGTCTGCAGGCGCGAGAGAAGACCATTGTGCTCACTGGTGCGCTCTCCCCGGCCAGGTTTGCTAAAAGTGACGCCACTTTTAATGTCGGCATGGCGTTTGCGGCAGTCCAGACCCTGCCTCCAGGCGTTTATATCGTGATGAACGGCCAGGTTTTTGCAGCGGACAAAGTCCGTAAAGACCTGGAGCACAATGTGTTTGTGCGGTGTTAGACTCAGCGCTCGAGGGTTAACGAGGGCGCTTTGATGTACGACGTAGTGATTAAAAACGGCTTGATTGTAGATGGGTCCGGCGGCGCTGGGTATCGGGCAGATCTTGCCATTCAGGGTGACAAAATTGCTTCGATCGGTCGAATTAATGCCCCGGCGCGGCAAACGATAGACGCCGAGGGTCACGTGGTGTCCCCGGGGTTTGTAGACGGCCATACCCATATGGATGCACAGGTATTCTGGGACCCTATCGGCTCCTGTTCGTGTTACCACGGTGTGACCAGTGTGGTTATGGGCAACTGTGGGTTCACCCTGGCACCCTGCAAGCAGGAAGATGCGGATCTGGTCTTCCGCAACTTGGAGCGCGCTGAAGACTTATCTCGCGATGCCATGCTAGCGGGTATCGACTGGACCTGGGAGACCTTTCCACAGTTTCTCGACTCGGTAGATCGCCTGCCTAAAGGCATCAACTATGCCGGCTACATTGGCCATTCGGCGCTGCGTACCTACACCATGGGTGAGCGGGCGTTCAGTGAACAGGCCAGCGAAGATGATCTGAAACACATGCAGGCGCTGGTGAAAGAAGCGATGCAGGCGGGTGCAATTGGCTTCTCAACCTCGCGCACCTTCAATCACATCACCGCGGACGATCGCCCGGTTGCCAGCCGCATCGCGCACTGGGATGAAGTGCGCGGCATCGTTAACGCGGTGGGTGAAACGGGTAAAGGTGTATTTGAAATTGCCGGTGAAGCACCGGGCCGTAACCCCGAACGCATTCGTGAATATCATAATCGTTTAAGAGATCTATCGGTTGAATCCGGCGTTACTCAAACCTGGGGTATGTTCAGTGTGCGCGTTGCGCCTGAACTCTGGCGACCCTATTTTGATCTTCTGGACGAAACAGCCGAGGCGGGCGGGCGTATGTATGCTCAGGTACACAGCCGCGCCTTAAATACATTGTTGTCGTTTGAGAGTCACACGCCATTTGATAAGTGGGAGTTGTGGTCCGATATCCGCGCGCTGCCGCTGGAAGAGCAGAAAGTCAAACTGCGCGATCCCGCCCTCAAAGCCAAGCTGGTGGAAATTGCCAATCGCGAATACACCGGGCCAAAAGTTGTTGGCGCAGAACCACGTCCGCCGGAATGGGATTTTGTGTATCCCATGAGCGACATGGTCTATGACCAGCCTTCGATGGCAGAGTTAGCCCGTGCCAAAGGTGTGAACCCGGTTGAGCTGATGATTGATATGGCGCTGGAGCACGATTTTAAGATCTTTTTCCGTCAGCCGATTGCCAACGAAAATCAGGACCATGTGCTGGAGATGATGAAACACCCGCGTTCAGTGGTGACTTTCTCTGACTCCGGCGCGCATGTGGCGCAGATTATGGACAGCTCGCTGCAAACACACCTGCTGAGTTACTGGGTGCGCGAAAAGCAGGCGCTGTCGCTTGAGGAAGCCGTTCGTCAGATTACCTACAACACCGCTACCATGTGGGGATTACATGATCGTGGTCTGCTGCGTGAAGGTATGGCAGCTGATGTGGTGATTTTTGATCCGAAAACCATTGGTGCGCGGCTGCCACAGATTGTGCACGATCTGCCTGCCGGCGCAAAACGTCTGAAGCAAACGGCTGATGGCATTAAACATACGTTGGTGAATGGCCAGATATTGCTCACTGATAATGAGCATAGTGGCGCTGTGCCAGGGCGACTGTTGCGCAGTTAGGGGTAGAGCCCCAGGCGCAGGTCTTAGTGGTCAAAGTGCCACTGGAGCTGAGTCGTCGAAATTAGATATCAAAGCGCCTATTTTCAAGAGGTTTTGCTCTGCGTTTACCGAGATCGGACACGTTAGCCTGCGCTGAAAGAGGGAGTGATAGCATGATTGAGGGATTTGCAGGACAACTCATCGACGCCAAGCACGTCGATTTCGATGCCGCACGCATGGGCTGGAACGGAATGATAGACCGTCGTCCGGTTTGGATTGCCTGCTGTGAAAATGCAGAGGATGTGTCCCTCGCTGTCAGACACGCAGCCTCCCATGGCATGACCGCTGTCGCGCGCGGAGGCGGGCATTCGGTGTCAGGTGCATCGCTTCCGAAAGATGGCTTAATGGTCGATCTTGCTTTGATGAAATCCATTGTAGTCGATCCGGAGCGCCAGTTCGCGCAGGTTGGTGGTGGCGCGCTATTGGGCGATCTCGATGTGGCGACTCAGGCGCACGGCCTTGCCGTCACCGCCGGAGTCGAGCCGAGCACGGGCGCGGGCGGGCTTACATTGGGCGGCGGCATCGGCTTTCTTGCTCGCAAGCTGGGGCTGACGATTGATAACCTTGTGAGTGCACAGGTGGTGCTGGCGGACGGATCGATTGTAGATACAAGCGAAGAAGAGTTGCCCGATCTATTCTGGGCACTACGCGGCGGTGGTGGACAATTCGGCATTGTAACTCGTTTCGATTTCGTGCTGCATCCGGTTGGTCCGGAGGTGGTCGTGGGGCAGGCGTGGTATCCGATCGAGAAGGCACATGATGTCATGCGCTTCCTCAGGAATACGATGCAGGAGGCCAGCGATGATTTTGGTCTCGTCCCGGCCATGCTCAAAGTTCCGCCGGTCGCGCCTTTTCCAGCAGAATTTCACGGTCAGCATGCCATTGCGATGGTCGGTTGCCACACGGGCAAAGCAGCAAAGGCGCGCGACGAACTTGAGCCCTGCCTCGAACTCGGGGACTTGATCTTCGGCTTTGTCGACACTCAGCCCTATGTTGAATTCCAGAAGACCTTTGCTGATGCCAGCCCAAAGGGTGGGCGCTATTACTGGAAGTCGATCTTTGTGGATGACTTGTCAGATGATCTGGTGGATGTGCTGCTCGAGGGTATCCGCACTATCCCCGGAGAATATACGCAGATCTTCATGGAAGCCCTGGGTGGGGCGGTGGGGCGCATCGGCGTGACCGAAACCGCTTTTTCTAATCGCAAGGCACGCTGGAACCTTGGCGTTTCGACCGGCTGGGTTGATCCCGCGATGGACGAAGCGGCGGTGACCGCGACCCGCACCATCGCCGAGAAACTGATGCGATTCTCCGATGGGACGGTCTATCTTAATTACCTCGATCGCGACGAGGCGGCACGTACGCAAGCGGGCTTCGGACCCAATTGGGAGCGACTGGCTGCGATCAAGACAAAATATGATCCGGACAATGTCTTTGGCGGACCCTTAGGAGGTGCTGGGTAGTGGAAAGCGCGGCCACGATGGTTGAAAAGCCAACAAACGCCATGGATACCTTTACAAGCGAGTGCAGCAGATCTGTGACCGCGTCTCAACCAAAGGCTTCTCTCAATCCTGCTTTATTGAGCATTGCCTGAACACGCTTGTGTCCCTTGGTATCCAGTTTCCTGATGCGCTCAACCACCATTTTGCGCGCCGCTTCCGGATAGGGTCGAGACAGATAGCTGACATCTTCGCCATAGATATCCACGTGAAAGGCTTTTGCGCCGACCCGCTGAGCGTCGCGATTAGCCAGGATATATCGAGAATAGGTTGCGGCCATTTCTCCCAGAATATGTCCGGCAAAATCAGTGGGCGCATCGAAAGGCGCTAATTCACCTGTACCGTCCCACCGTGAAGCTCGGCGTTCCGCCCAATCGACGACGGTTGGAAATTGAGCTGTAACCCTTTTGGGGTCAGGGTCCATATTGGTATGCGCGCGTAATCCGCCGAGGACAATACAATCCAAAGCGGTAGGGCGGTCCCCTAATAAAAACGCTGTTTGATCCAGTTGCGCCTCTGCGGCCTCAAGAATACGCAGGTATTCCGCTTCTGCTGCTTCGCGTTGTTGGGTGGAGTCTGTGCCAGTGGCACGACATGCTCTAGGGCCCCAGTCCAGCATGCGCTGGGCAACCGCTGGATTGCCGTTGGCCATGCGCTGCGCAGCGAACTTCGCACTGTCCGGATAGTGCCAGCGATAGTGCACCATGACGCGTGCGATCCACTCGTCAAAATGCTCTTCAAGCACGTGCACCAGCACACCCATTTCCCCTGGGGGGAACATCGCCCGGTGTGGGAAGCGGCTATCCAGCAATTCCAACAATGGCGTTGTGTCGCCAATCATCCAGTTTTCTGGTGTTAACAACACAGGCACCTGATGAGTGCCAGAGCGGTGCTCAATCACTTCAGCGTTATCCTGAGTTTTCGCCTCGACGGAAAAGTCTGCGCCGTAGAATTGCAAAGCCGCTTCGAGTTTGCGGGTAAACAAACTCAGTTCGCCGCCGTACACCACATAACCTGCTGGCATCAGGCAAACACCAGCAACTCGTCACGATCGCCACCTTCGTGGCCGATCAGGTGCCGCAGATAGTCCTCGTAGGACCCCATCCACATACCAGCGGAGCGCTCGCGGCCCGCGGCAGCGTCGGACTTGGTGGTTTTCATGTACCAGTTATTGCACCTCAGCCAGACTTTGCCTTCGGAGCTTTTCTCGCACAGGTCGGTCCACGCGTCAGCAGCATCGGCTGAGGGCTCTACGGTGCGGGCGCCGCGATCGCGCATGTCTGACAACAATTTTGCCAGGTAACGCGCCTGTTCCTCGCACACCAGGGTGACGTTGGTATAGGGATTCAAACTCTGAGGACCAATCATCATGTGGAAGTTGGGCATCTCGGGGATGTGGATACCCCAGAGACTGCGCGGCCGTGTCATCTGCCACTTGTTATCCTCGTTGGCGCCGAAGGCGTCAGCAAGGGTGACGTCGTTGCGTCCTGTCACCGGAAATGGGATCAGATTGCTGTCGAAGCCGGTGGCGTAGATCAGAACGTCTACGTCATGGCGGTCACCGCAAGCCAGTTCCACTCCCTCGGGATGAATACGCACCACACCACCGGGATCATCCACCAGGGAGATGTCGTCGCGATTGAAGGTTGAATAATAGTCATCGATAAACAGCGCCCGCTTGCAGAAGAAGGGGTAATCCGGTGTCAGGGTTGCGGCCAGCTCGGGGTCTTTTACCTCCGCGTTGATGCGCTCGGTAATCATGGTGCAGACCGCGGCATTTTTTTCCGGATCGTGCAGGTCGTCGAAGGTAAGCAGCACTTCTGTGGGTGCGGCATCGCTGTCAAAGTCGACCTTGCGCAGTTCTTCTCCGTAGCCGCCGGCGCGAAAAGCTTCGGTGATCTCCGGCGGTGTGGGCTCGTCGTCCCGGGGCAGTACCCAGGTAGGTGTGCGTTGGAAAACGGTGAGATGTTCGGCGTCATCCACAATGGTTGTAATCACCTGTGCTGCAGATGCGCCGGTACCGATGATGCCGACATGTTTGCCTTTCAGTGAGGCATTAGCGTCCCAGCGGGCGGTGTGGAAGCTCTCGCCTTTGAAGCTGTCCATGCCAGGCACTTCCGGTAGGCGGGGACTCGATAGAGGCCCATTGGCTGCAATGACATGGCTGCAGGTGACCACTTCTGCAACTTCGCGGGTGATCGGGTCGAGAGTCGTCACCTGCCAGAGATCGTCGCGGCCATTAATGAGGCGAACGTCTGCCACTTCTCGCGAGAACGCCATGACGTCGCGTAATTCGCAGTGATCGGTGAGCAGTTCCGCGTAGTCGGCGATCTCCTGCTGGCTGACGTACTTTTTCGACGGAATGAATCCGGTGCGATCCAGAAAAGGCAGGTAGGTGTAGGCCGGCACGTCACAGGCCGCGCCCGGATAGCCACCCACGCCACCATGGGCCCATACGCCACCGACGGAGGGGCTTTTTTCGAACAGACGGATGGAGGCAAAGCCGGCGTCTTTCAGATAGTGGGCTGCGAGCAGTCCTGAGAATCCTGCGCCGATGATCACTATATCGTAATCGGCCTGTTCAGTGTTGTTGTTCGCCATCTGATGCTCGCTCTACATATTTTTTAACGACGGGAACTATAAAGACCCTTTCGAGGCTAGTCGACATGTACTCAGGCTGCACAAAACTTGGTGCAAAGAGGAGATTCTGGTGCTGGGTTTGGTTGAGGGCTTGTGAATAAAAAGAGTTGTAGTTGATTCAGCCTTAACCCTGAGGCAACATGCCGGTCCTTACGCACCCGTAGTTCAACTGGATAGAATATCTGGCTTCGAACCAGAGGGTTGCAGGTTCGAGTCCTGCCGGGTGCGCCAGTTTTCTGAAGATATCTCCTTGGACACGAACCTACGAGCTGGTTTCGACACCGCTTGCAAGCGGTGCCGCGCTCGTACCGCTAAACCAGTGCTTTAGCGTGAGTCCTGCCGGGTGCGCCATACCGCCGCTTTGCGGCGGGAGGTCGAGTTTATGGCCGTCGGCCATAAACATCGCTCGTATCTTCCACGATTTTCCTAGCATTTAAAAAATCGATCACAATGTCTTTGAATAGTGGGTCAGTCACAGCGCTCAGGTGGTCCGCGCCGGGTAGTTTTTTATGCCGTGCCCTGGGTAGCGCCGCGGCAATATCATCCGCGCTGTCAACATACGGGTAGTCCTGATCGCCGTTGACGATGAGCACGGGAAAATCCGCCTGACCGATATGTTCGCCCGCAATCTTTAAGGGGTAGCCTTCCGGCCACATCTTCAGGGCTGAATACGCCAAAGATTCAAGATCGTTGTTCGGATTGGCCTCAACAAAGCGACGCACGTTTTTACCTGCAGGATTATCAATGCTGGCTGGATCGGTTGCGCGCAGCGCCCGGGCAATCACGCTGCCTTGAGCTGCGCTGGATGGTGTTTCATTGCCGATGCCGCCCAGCACCATTGAGGTGAATCGTTCCGGGTAGTGGCCAAGCAGATATGCACCCATGAATGACCCCATCGAATAGCCCATGAAGTCGGCTTTTTCTATGGTCAGTGCGTCCATAACACTAAGGACATCATGACTCATTGCTGCATAACTGTAAGGGTCGGGCGCGTGAGGCTTGGCGCTTCTGCCATGCCCCCGTACATCGATTGAAATCACCGCGCGGTGGTGTTTTAGAGCATCAACCCAACCAGTATCGATCCAGTTGCTCTGGGTATCCGCGCCCCAGCCATGCACAAGTATCATAGGCAGCCCTGTGCCGACCTGCTCGTAGTAGATCTGCAAACCGTCGGAATCGATAAAGCCTGAGCGCATCGAGGTGCCGCTGAATCTGAATGCGCTACGCGCCAAACACGGTGCGCAGCAGCTGGGTTGTGCGCTTGACCGGATCCTGACGAATAGCAGCTTCTTCTTTGGCCAACTGGCTGAATAATGCATTCATAGCGTAGCCGCTGACGTGCCCGTTAAGGTCTGCATCTATGGGATTGACCAGCGGGAGAGCATTGTACTGGTCGATTGCCTGTCGAAAGGTTCTCACCGCGCCCACGCTGTTCAAATGGGTGTTGATGATCGGTCGTAACCTGCGATCCAGAGTGGTCTGGGTGGTTTGTCTGAGATATCGGGTTGCCGCGTCGTCAGGTCCCCGGTAGATGGCCATGACGTCTTCGAATATCATGGTCCTGATCGCGCTGACAAACAGGTCGCGCGCCTCGGGCACCGCCGCCTCTGCTGCAAGATTCATTTTCAGTTCCAACTCTTCAAAAGGCCCCGCTAATCCAAATCGGCTGGCAAACTGTTTTGCGTCCTGCAGTTCCTGGGGAAGTGGAATATGAAATATTGAGTTCGTGAAACCACCGTTACTGCCAAGGGTGTCAACAACTCTTGTGGAGCCTACTGTCAGCGCCTCGCGCATCCCCCGCGCAATAGTGTCGTTGGATATTGCCGTGCCGCTACCGGTGCCGGCTGAATTGAGCAGGTCATCCAGCAGCGCAGTGGACTCACAACCCTGCAGACACAGGATTGTGGCGACAATTATTGTTCTTCGAATCAGCTTTTGCATTTCATTCACCATTTTGTGTGGCGATATGCCAGCGAGGGAAACTATAAAGCTCATTTCCAGGCCAGTCGATAAACGTGGGGGTTATTTAAACTCAGTTCTTGAGTTTCAAGGGTCAACAAAACTATTCTGACGTTTTTACACGCGGGGATGATCATGGCGCAGCTTGCGTTCGATACGGAAATACAGGAACGAGATGGCATTATTAATGGCCCTTTTCGATTTCCTGTGCAGATGCTGGCGGAACAGGAATATGGCGGCCATCTGTCTATCCATGATGATGATCAGGCCCAGGAGCTTGGCTTCAGTGGCGCACCGATTGAGGGTCCCACGCATTTTTCGCAGTTCGACCCGCTGCTGCACAAAATCTGGGGTGATACCTGGTTCGAGTCAGGCTGTATCAGCGCGCATTTTAAGAACGTTGTGGTAGAAGGCGAGGAAGTGCAGGCTTTTGTCGAGCTGCCCGCTGCAGATGCAAGAATTACAAAGATCTGGGCGGTAAAGAAAACCGGTGAACCGGTGTTGGAAGGTACCGCATCGCTCGGGCCAGAGCATCCAGAAACTCGCCTTGATAGCCTGATGGCCTCCAGACCAACCCCGGAGAACCTGGTTCTGCTTGAGGGTGTGCATATTGGCGATAAGTCACCTGACCCTGATGTTGTGGTTATGGATTTCGATCAGCATCTGGGTAACAGCTATCCTTTTACGCTCGCCAGCAAGCTCGAAAAAATCACCGAGAAGTGTCGTTGGTATGAGGCGGAAGACGCCGCTCAGTCACCCTGGGGGAAGCCGATTATTCCAACAGAAATGATCAGTCCCCTGGTAGGTTTTACAAAATCCGGACTCAAAGGTCCCAAAGGGCCATCCATTGGTTTGTTTGCCGATCTCGAAGTCAGAATGATCAAGGGCCCGTTATTTGTTGGCCAGAAATATCAACTGGAGCGTGAAGTTGTTGGGTTAGGTGAAAGCAAGCGCACCGAATCAATGTGGATTAAAACCTATATTTCAGACCCGGAGACCGGCGAGCTGCTGGCAACCACCCTGCTGAATTCGGCCACATTGAAGCAGTCTTATGAACATTACGCGGAAGAAGCGCTGCGCCTGGGTAAAGAAATTTAATCTGCCACGCCGTTGGCGTCCAGGCGTAGTTTACTGAAACCACTGGATCAGCTGGTCAGCGTCGATTAAAGCAAACTGTCTTTTTATCAGGCGTCCAGATGGGTCAAAAAGTAAAAGTTCCGGCGGCCTGGCATTGTGCGCCGCGATCAGTTTGTCACCCTCCGGGGTGCCGATTCTGGCGATGAGGAAGAAAGCCCGTTCGCCTAGCTGATCGCGCGCGATGTTCATCTGTTCAGGCTGACTTGTGCTCACACCAAGGTTTGGATCGTAGACAAACACCAAAGCTGGCTTGCCGGTGCCTATTTCCTCGTGAGTCATCTTAAAACCCTTAGGCGAGGCCATGAACATCACGCCGACAAGTATCGATAAGGTTGCGAGAGTTCCCACTAAAACCCAAAGCTTGCGGTGCCTGGCGTTGGCATTATCTTTCTTGCTGATATCAGGCTCCTCTTTGTAGACAGGGGGGGCGGGTTCGCTAAGGCAAGCCGATAGCGGTGTGTTTCTGCGTTTCCGGATCTAACCCGCAAACAGTGTCGTGCAAGGCTTGGGTCGCTGCAACCTGCAGGTGTTCAGCGCCGATGCCTTCATCGCGGCCAGGCCAATCTCGTCACACTTTTCCTGTTCTGAGTTGACAATCGCTATAAAAGGGAATATTTTCCCTAACCATGAATAGGGAAATAAATCCCTTTCACGAAAAAATTTCTTCTGTAGACTTCCAAGGATATGAATATGAGATCTAAAACTAAAACTATTGCTATTGCGGCTGCCGCCATGGCTGCTCTGGGGCTAAGTGGGTGTGGTGGCGGTGGTGGGGGGGGTTCTTCGTCCGCACCGCCACCGTCAGGCACCACCCCGCCATCATCTGCTTCAATACCAGTCACTGCATCCGGCGTCATCACAGGATTCAGCAGCGTTTTTGTTAACGGCGCGCGCTACGAGGTTGAAAGTGACACCATTGTGGCCATCGAAGGCGAAAACGAACAACTGGGTGATGACAGTGCGTTGCGGGTAGGCATGAAAGTCAGAATACGCGCAAACGAGCAGGATGGTCAGCGGGTTGCAGAACGCATTGAATATGACGATGACCTGAAAGGACCTGCAAGAGACGTCATTGTGGATCCCGCTGATCCCTCTCTGGGCTCATTCAGCGTCATCGGTCAGAGTGTTGTCGTTGACGCCAACACAGCATTCGACGATGACGTGGGTGACAACAACGCAGACGGCACCATCGATATCAGAGATCTGGTACTTCCTGCTGGGCAGGTTGTGGTCGAGGTCAGCGGCCTGGTGATGACAGACGGATTCCTTGCCACACGAATTGATCGGGTGAACGGGTCCGCAGGTGCGCCAGGTGTAGACGATGATGAATTTGAGGTGAAAGGGTTTGTTGATGAAGTAGCCAGCGACGGCAGTTCTTTCCGCATCAACAACGCCACATTTCTGGTCGTCGAAGGCGCGGGCGGTACTTTTTTCGACGATGGCCTGGTTGCAGATCAGAGTCTGGTAGGCATCTTTGTCGAAGTTGAAGCTGACCAGGATGCATCCGGAAACTTTGTTGCTGTAGAGGTAGAGCGCGAAGATGACTTTGACGACGACAATGGCGATGGCCGTATCGATGATGATGACCGCAATGGAAAATTCGAAATTGAAGGCATTCTGGTATCCGTTGATACAAGTGTCACACCCAATGTTGTAGTTATTGGCTCTGTCACGCTTGCTGTATCTGACGCCAGTGCTTTGTCAGGTCAGGAAGGCCGCTTGCTGGAAATTGAAGGCCGCTTTGATGACAACGGTGTTCTGGTTTTATCCGACTCAAGACCTGAAATAGAAAACAGCGTCCGCATCCAGGACCGGGTGTCTGAAACCAGTGATACTGCGTTGACTACACGTCTGGGTATTGTCATCACCCCAACGGGCATGAGCAGAATCGAAGATGATGCGGGTGAAAATGGCGATAGTCTGACCCCTGATGAATTTCTGCAGCGCATCATGCCAAACGATTATATAGAGGCGCGCGGCTATCTGGATGCTGATGACTCGGTTGTCTGGTCGCGTATCGAACGAGAAGATGATGACGATCAGGCGTGTGAACTTAGGGGTCCAGTGACCTCCATTGAAGGCGATGATGCCAACAGTTTCAGTTTTGTCATACAGGGTGTCACTGTGGATGTCAGCCAGATTGATTCTGCGGATGATTTTGAAGGTGTGAACGACCAGCCGCTTGGCCGATCAACGTTCTTTGATATGCTGAGCGTGGGCGATATTGTTGAAGCAGAGAGTGATGACAATGGCCTGGGATGTGAATCAGGTCGGTTAACCGCTGATGAAGTAGCGTTTGAAGCTGACGATGGGTTGGTCGGCACCGTGCCGGATCGGGTGGTCGGTCGAACCCAGATCACCGGGACGCCGACAAATGTCTCACTCAACAGCTTTGAACTCAATGGTGAGACAATCTCAGTCGTCGGCAGCACACTGATTGACGACTCGATAATTGAGCGCGCTTTGGGTCGTGAGTTAGATGGCGACGATGTGCCTTTTGATCAGGTGCCAGCGGGTTTAACCCTGGTGGATCTGCTGCCAGGCACCTTTGCGATCAACGTCGCCAGAGATGCGGATGGTGTGGCCCTTGAGATCGAGGATTTATAAACCACAGGCGGGGTATACACTAGTTGTCTACCCCGCTGACCTGGTTTGAACACAGTTGTGACAGAAGCTCTAGAAAACCACTTATTGCGCGCTGCCAGACGCATACTGCGACCGGTAGTGCGCATTTTGCTGCGCAATGGAATAACGGCCACCGCTTTTCAGGAGCTGGCGCGCAAAGTGTTTGTAGATGTTGCGTTCGAAGAATTTGGCATTGACGGTAAACCGCAAACCCTGGCTCGGGTTTCTGTCATTACCGGTCTTAACCGCAAAGAAGTCTCACGTCTGCACAAACTGGACAGTGTCACTGAAGCGGATCGTGCCTGGTGGAATCGTGCTGGAACAGTACTGGCAGGATGGATGTCCGATGAATACTTTCAGACCAGGGCGGGTTTTCCCATAGACCTGCCATTTAGCGGAGCCTCACCCAACTTCACCGAACTGGTGAAGAAGTATAGTGGTGACATGTACCCACGCAGCGTCGCCGACGAACTCTTACGTCTCGGTGCGGTCGAAACCATAGATGGCCGTTTACGTATGTCTAATCGGGGTTATGCACCTGACGCGGATCCAGCAGCAATGGTGGATATTCTGGGGATGGACACCTCTGAATTCATTGAAACCATTGACCACAATATCCAGGCCCCGCCGCAGGACAAACTGCTGCAGGTGAAAGTTCTGGCTAATAATCTGCCGGAAAAACACCTGGCAGCTTTCAATCAGCATTCAAAGCGCGTCTCAATGAGTGCGTTAGACGAAATAGTACACTGGCTTAACGAGCATGATTCTGGAAAAGATCAATCTGGCGATGATGCCCGCTTTGCTGTTGGTGTCGGCATGTTTCAGATAAACAGGCAGGTACGTGCAGGCCAGTCAGAAGAACACGGAGAAGATTCATGAGTTTTAATCGAACAGCCTGTGGC